ACACACACACACACACACACACACACACACACACACACACACACACACACACACACACACACACACACACACACACACACACACACAGCTTAATTACTTAATTTATGTGAAACTGTGACAGGAAAGAAAATCCTACACATGTTCCTTAAAACAGCCCGGGCAAGTCACAAGCCCAAAACAGATACTTGTGAGATTTAGTTTGTTGCAGATCAGCCCACCATGATTTTATCTTGAATGAACTTCTCTGTTGAAATTCATGAAGCCTAGCAGGATGCTATTTTTTTCTGTGAAGCTAAACGAGGCAGAGCAGATCACCATGCCTGAGAAGAGTGGCTTATCTAAACATCTTACTTGAAGCACATTCTAATCATGACATTAGAACAGAAACTGCGAATTCTTCAACATGGCATGCTGTCAAATGTTATGATTGTTTGTTTGTATGTGTGTGTATGTTGTGTGCGCTCACCTCACAGAAGAGTGTGTCATACACACTCCAGACTGTTTCCACATGGACTTCAGTCAGTCCTGTTTTATTCTTCACCAGCTCCAGGATGTCCTGAAGACAGAAACACAATGTGGTCTGTAAACACATACCTAAATTCACTCCACTTTTTTGGCATGGATCATTTTTCATGCACTATTTATTCAGCTTGTCTTTTTGTTTATCGTTGACTTAAACGCATGGTCAAGGCTAGAATATTAAAAGTACAATGTTCAAACACAACCATAGTAAACACAACCACCTTATAGTCTAACTAGCTACCACACGTTTAAGATGACAATAAAAACAAAAACATAGTTAAATACATTTGACATTAAATAGTTACATTACACGTTTTCAACTGTTCATCATTGAGTCTTTCCTTTTGTAATAAAAAACTTTAATTTGAGGATATTTAGACAAGAAAATATCCCAATCAGGCTAAAAGAAATGTCTATGTAATTCACAAATGATATTGGCAGCCTATATATAAGTGAATAAAGAAAAGAAAGCGTACTTGGTATTTATTGGTGACATTAATGAATTCCTCACTGTGTTCAGTCTCATTCATCAGCTGTTTGTAGCGAGGGCAGTCTCCCAGAGGAAATGAGAGAAGCTGAAAAACAATTAAAACAAAGATTTCAGACAATATGCTTAGAATTATTCAGTTCAGTTCTGTGATGAAAAACACACACACACACACACACACACACACACACACATATATATATATATATACGTACCCTCTCTTCACTCTGAGGCACAGTGTGGACAGGAATCGGCTGCCACTTCAGGTTGGGGTTAAAGACCTGCTGACCACTGGGGGGGTAGAGACCTAGATGGCAACAGGAGTCAAAATAAAACAGACTGTGAACGTGAGGAAGAGGAGTCCTACAAAGTGAAGTAGCTCTGACAGACTGTAGAAAAAGCAGGAGGAAGAAGACGTAGCTGATGTACAGACCCGCCAGGTTGGCCTCAGCACTCATCAGCGTGCGATCGTAGTCTGTACTGCGAACTGAGATCTGAGAAAAAAGCAAGTGACCACTCAAATTTATTTAAACTAGCAGAAAACACCATTAACAAGGCATAGTCCAAATATACTGGAGAGAATGATTACACAGATGACACCATGCTGTACTAATCACGTGGCTCAACTTCATCACAAAAGCCAGGATGACCCATTACTTTTTCCTGTCTTTGTGGGTCATGTGATCTGAAAGTAAAAAGCAGAGTCCCACCTCATGTCTGTTGTAGGATTCATTGAGGAATCCCTTGTATCGATTCCTCAGGAACTGGCCGAGCTCAAAGTGCTGCCTCATCCCAATCTACAAACACACATTAACATAACATATAATAATTCAAAGCTCCCATCTATCAAGAAGCTCACTAACGGTGCAAACGTTGGCTAATTTCTAAAAACACAGGTAACTTCATGAAATGATGCACCAGTCCCTAAATGAATGGTATATACAGTGTATGTATTTCAAGCCCCAGGATATGTAAGACATGTTATTACTTGCGATAACTGTCCAAAGCCTTGTGGCCAGTCGCTTTCTTGGTGCGGGTCTGTGGGAAAGGCTTTGACTGGTGAACGGTCACCATGGCGGAACAGCTGAAGGGGAGAGAGCAGATGTCAGGTAACTTGTATCTTGAGGGTTTCCCCTCCCCGCAACAAAAACAATTAAGAAGTATAGAGCGGAGAAAAGGTGCGGTGCTCAGAAACACAAAAGCAGCGAAATACTGAAACATTTTATTGCATAAAAAAGAGCTGTGTAACCTGTGACTTTCACAACGGCACAGGATTCATTGCTGCACTGTATCTTCCCTGGCTTGGAGAGTTTTACGTTTTGATATGTCATTGGTGTAATTTTTCATTTTGTTATTTAGAGAACAATCGTATTGGCCTTTTACCTGCCACGCATGTTGATGTTGCAGTTGCTCAACCTCTCACCACATGAAACTAACTTGAACACAGAGCAGCTCCTCTAAAACAGAATGTGTCCCAATACTGGTTCAACTTGTGGTGATTGGAACGATCTTGCCAAACATTATTAAGCCATAAAGTTTGTGCTTCAAGTTTGACTTGCTGACAGCTGAATCACGTTCTCTGGCTGAAACGTATTTAACACAGCATCAACATGTCTCCAGACTAAAAAGAAGGAAGTGAAAATGAATAATGAAGGGTGTCAAAGATGTTAGGATACCATTTTCCTTCCTTTTACAGAGTGCTGATTTGCGATAACGGTGCATTTAGAAAAATAACAGCAAATATAGCGTATTTTAACAGCTGTACGCTACTCACCCTGTATGGAAGTGATGATTGTTGTCGTTGTTGTATGGCTACACTAATAGAAATAGCTCTCTCTTCACCACTCTAAAAAGAGCACTTGTCAGTGGCAGTACAGTGCTAGAAGTAATTTCAAGAAGTGATTTCTGGGAAAACAAAACCGCAGCTTTGTCTCTGTGAGACTCATTTAGTTTAAAGCTTTGGTATCTGAACATTTCCCTCCGGGGATTAATAAAGTATTTCTGATTCTGATTCTGACATGGGTTTGCCTACTCACTAACGACCCAGCATTTTCAGCAGGATTGGAGGCATTTTTGATGCTGGAATCTGACCATATCAAATTAAAAAAGGGAAACATTATTTAAAACAGAAGTAGGACAGAAACATAGGCAAATCATACTGTGAAAGACATACACACTGCATTTCATTGTACTTGTTCTATGTGCCAATAAAGTTTAACCTTATCTAATAATATTTCAATTATGTATCAATGTACTTAACAGGGACTTTTTAAAGGCATGACATTTATAAACAAGAAAGCACAACTAAAACTGCTCTTGTTAATAAATAGATTCTAATGGTGAAAGTAGGTTGAAAGTAGGAGTTGTATGTAGTCAATATGGTCTCATGACTAGATGCCACCGCATGGAGTTTCTATTCAGGTGGAAATACTGGGAAGCCACAAAACCAGTCTGTGTTTCTCGTTTACTGGTATGACTACGCCTACAGTAGCTGGATAAAGTGTGTACATTCGAGTTGAAGGGTGGATTATACCTTTAGCATTGCTAATTGTATCTGCACCACAATCCATTAATAGCCAGGTAATGGTTTTCTCAGAAAGAGTGCAATAATAAGTCAAATCGAGAATAGCTACCCTAACAGCTGCAACAAACACACACAAAAATCCATATTGACCTGCTGACCAGAGCACAGTTTAAGACTGTGACAGATTGTTGATGTCAACGCATCAACACAGCAAAACACGAGGGTGTCAAATGCTACACAAATTCTCTCATCAGTAACACATTCCAAATCTGTAAAGCTAACAAAACAACGGGAACAGAGGTCAAGAGAGACAAGCCTTAAAAACTCAGATTAATAAGATTTAAAAAATAAACAAAGTCAAACTAAAAAAATAAGAAATGTTACTCTTCCTATCCCAGTTGTCAACTTTGTTATTGCGAGATTTCTTCCCCCTGTAGCTGTCACGGTGTTTGTGCTCAAAGCTCGCAACACTGAACTGCACTGCATCTCTCTCACATCACCGCAATACCGAGCACAGATGTGTGAAAATTCACTGGCACTCATCTGTTAAACGCAATAAAGTGTGTGGGTGTGAGTTTTAGAGGAATAAACAATCTTCACACCACCCAGACAGCTACAAGAACAATTTTAAAACATGTTAAAGTACTTGAAGTTGTAGCAGCTGTATACAGTATATGAAATGTATTGTCTTCAGGGTTGAAGCTGCTCGCATTTCAAAAAACACCAAGCGCAGATCCCACAGCTCTACAATTCTTCTTACCTTTAAGTGGTGGCCATTTAAATCTAGGATAGATTTTAAATGGTTGTATTTATATAGAGCTTTTCTAGTCTTGATGACCACTCAAAGCGCTTTACACTACAGTTTGCCATTCACCCATTCATACACACACTCATACATACAGTGCATCTATAACTAGCACTTTTTGTTGTTCTATGGGGAAATTTGGGGTTCAGCAACTTGCCCAAGGACACTTTGGCATGCAGATGGGAAGACTGGGGATCGAACTTCCGACCTTCTGGTTTTTTTAAGACACTTTTAATAACTCCAGGTCTGGACCCCAGTTATATTATGCAGCTACTAACTCCCTATGCTCCAAATTATCATCTAAGGTCATCCAACCAACACTTCCTATAGTTTTTAAGTCAAGGCTGGTAAGTAAGGGTGACCAAACTTTTGCAATTCCAGAGGCTCTGGAATTCCTTGAAGATAATATTTACAGCACTTATTATGACAGACATTTATATGAAAGGCTTTCAACACCTTATTGTATTATATATTATATTTATGTTATCTCTCTTATTTCTGTTTTGTCTTATTTTGTTCTGTGTTGTTGTATCCCTGTGTATCTTGACTTGACCCTGACCCAAGCTGGCGTTTCTGAAGATACTTCCGCAAGTGCTTCTTCAATACAAGTGCTTAATTCTGTGTTTAAAACCAGGAAAACAGACACAATGGAGTGGTCCTCAAGTTGGGGTCTGTTGCACACTGTCATGAGGTCTGTGGACGATTTCAAAATTCCATTAAAATGATCATGTATAGATAAGACATGGTGGAAAAAGTGTTTTAATATCTGCCAAAGACATTTCTCCTGTGTTGATCTTTCACATAACGAAGCAGCCAAATTATTCCACGTGACAAACATCATACACGAAGGGGTCCCCAGACTAATAGGTCACCAGCCTTTTAAAGCACATGATCACTTTTTAATTCAAAACGTAAGCCGAGATCTACCACCCCGATGTCTTACAAAAAACCCACTTAGGAGGGTCACATTTATTATTTTAGTATGAATTCATGCATCTTCAGCTCCTGCAAATATTTCACAATAAAAAACTTTTTAAACAAAAGAATGGATTCGGTCAACAGAAACGCTGCAGTGCTTTTGTTTTGTGTTTGTGACATAGATTCAACAGATAAACATTCAAACTCAGGTGAAAGATCATTTTATTCTGCAGTGAAACACAAAGTTGATCTGTCTATGTCACAAACGTATTTACAACACTTCTTGAACCCGTTTCAAAGTAAAAGCACTCCAGCGTTTCACTTCTGAATCCATTTATTTGTTCTAACAGGGCTTTGATTGTTGTCGACAGACCAGAAGATGCAGGACTTCATACCGTGGAGCCATGTCATTTAGTTCAGTGCATAATCCGGCTTGTATTGAAGGAAATGCAGGAGATAAACCCGCTGCTCCGCTGCCAGTAGCGGACACACTCCTTGGTTTGGAAAACACTCAGCACTTCTGCTCTGTATGACCCCAAGACATTTTCAGTTGGACCCAGAGACCAGATACACCATAGAAATAAGGCGTGTTGTTTGATCACTTGACAGGTTTAGGAATGATAATAACTAAGTGTAGCTCAGGAATATTATAATGATCGAGGCAAACACAGGATGTCTGGTGATTTGTATGTCATAATGACACATGCTAACTTCCACATGCTTCCTGTAAGTGTTCGTATAGAAAGGCTTTCACACATGTTTACATAAATAATACTCATTTACTTGTACACATGTTTTCCTTCCTAAAAAACTACTTTCGTTGTTTCGTACCTTCTTTTCCCGATAAGATATCACCTTTTACAAAGGGTTGGCATGCTATTCTTTGCTCGGGGGCATTGATACTAAACACACAAAATGTGTTTGTTCGAAGCAAATAAACGTTGCTAGATCGAACCCCTGAAGCCGAATTGACTGAAAGACCTCAAACGCTCTGTCCCGATTCAATTGTAATGAAAATAAATAAATATGCTTTCAAATAAGCAAAGAAAAAGAAAAACTCCCTAAACTTCGAAGGGAGTTCAATAAGAGTCAGTCCACTCCACAGTGGGACACGCAGAGTAAACACGCCACAACACTGACATCACTCACCACAGTCACATAAACTAGTTTCTTCTCGGCTGCAGCTTCTCCACACACAGAAACCACCGTTAAAAGAATTAGTCCGACAGCAGACGCCATGATCACGATCCTGCAGCTCACGAGAACTGCTTTCTGTTGCTAACGGTCTTCTTCTTCTTCTAGTTTCAAGACAGGTAGCGCCCAACGCTAAAGGTGCGTCACCGCCACCTACTGTGCTGGAGTGTGGGTCAGAGTGTTTGGTCTGGGGAAATATACAAATAATACGAAATCAAAACTGAAATCATCTTCACTAATTTAGCTTATTTTAAAAATGCAAACAATACTTTATATTTCACGTCCTCATTGCTGAACAAATGATTTACATCCTCACCACATCTAGCACAGCTTCTTTTCCCTTGACATGTCATATCAGTATGTCCAAGTCTTTGACAGTTGAAGCATCTTATTGGTTTTGGTATATATTCCCTCACTGTGTATGTCATGTATCAGCACTACTCTCTTTGGAAGAGTCTCCTCCTCATATTCCAATAATATACTTTCACTATCACACTTCACCCCTTCTCTGAAGGCCTGTAATCTCTGTGCATCCTTCAATTTCCCACCTTTTTTCCCAGTTTTGCTCATTATTTCTTCTATGGACACCTCAACTGGTATTTCCCAAAATTACTCACTTATTCCACCTGCTTCCCTTCACCCTGCTTGCACTTGTCACATTATGCTTTACCATGTTTAACCTGTGGTTAGTTTAACTGGGCTCAAAGACTGGACTCCATTCGCGTCAATAAATCATAATATTACCTAAAATTCATTCACTTCAACTTCACCACTTGGTCTCTCAGAATTAGTCATCAGTCTCATTTGTTTCCTTGCCACTACTCCACGAAAATAATTCCCTTGTTTCCCTCCTTTCCTTTCACTCTGCTGACTGATTTCCGTGCCATTCCCACTCCCCAATCTGTCTGACTCTCCCTCTGCTGGCCCATTCACAGCATAGCTGTGCCAGCCCACTCCAGAGACCAGACTAATCTGAAATAGTTCAACTCAGTTTAACTCCAAATGAACAGATGGCAGAATGAATGAAAGACAATCGCAAAATTTTTTCATTACATGTGTACCCCCGAGTTAATTCTCCAGAGCTATGAGTGTCTATAATAATAACAATAATAAAGTAATGTGGTGGCAACACAATAGGGTATGTCACTTTATGACGTGTAGCCACTCTATAGTTTGTTTTGGAGGTACATCTCTTTTTACCTGGGGGTTTATGGGGGGACACAGTATCCTGCTTATTTAAGGTGTTAACCTGTATCTGCCTGATTAGTCAATATAGAGAAACATCACGTTTCTAAATGATGACAAACTTTTGGTGCTAAGTGAGTCGCCGACTGTGTCATGGCCTATAGGAGTGAGGACTCGATATGTATAGTAAGAGCACTTTCCTCACACGTCGCTCTCAAGATACTTTCAGACCTGGGTTTTATTTGTGTTTTACTGCCAGCATTTATGTTTCATTTTCTATGTGAGCCCATAACAGTAAAACAGTTTCTGTGATTACTGTTTTATTCAGACTCTGTTTTGAGTGTTGTTGCTTAATGCTACTGTGAAAACAGTACATATCATTAACGATTGATAATTATTATTACAGGGATTGGTTCAGAAACCAGTGAACCCAGTGCTTAGGCTGTCATAGTGATTGAGGTCAAAAAAGTGTAACACATGAAGACAAAATGACCTGGATGAGAAATTTAACAAATTAGTATTTTTGCCTGTAACATGACTAAAAAAATAATTTGATTGCAGATTTCCTGTCGAACATATTGCTGCACACATCTTAGTGGTACTGGTGAGATAAGTGTTTGAGAGACTGATAAACCTTTAGCAGTAATGTAAATTCTTGATGAAGATTTGTCTTTCAACAAATCATCATCAAGATTAATCATCATCAAGATTCAGATTAACTGGACACTGAAGCCCATTTAACAACTTTGTCTGTTTGAAACCAAGTGAGAAATGAAAACACTGGAAATACTGATAAATCAAAAGGTATTTTATTTGTCATTTCATCTCGGCCAACAGACTGAGGTCAATGTGAACAGAACAGCACGGACACACGCAGACAGGCAGGGCAGCTGCCACCTTATCCATGTTTCCCACTCAGATGTTTCCCATGTTGACCTTCACACATCTCTTGTTTCTGCAGCGTAAAATGGTTCCGATTTCAGACTTTGTGATGGTGCCTGTGATCATATGAGCTGTACCCTGCATGTTCTGTCCCGTGTGCATCTACAGCATCAAGGTGTGTCAGTTTATCAGGATGTTAGAGTGATAATCCGACCGCAGATGCCTGTACCATGTCACTTCACACATGGATTCACCTATTTTAACTCTGACTGTTTGTTGTGTCCAACATGCATGTAAATGATTGCATTGATCTGGCATTCACGCCTAATTTAGATGCATAAAAAGTGTAAAAAGATAAGGAAAGTTTCATGTTCTCAAGACATGTTTTATGATAAACCAAACCACAAAAAAGGTAGAGAGAGACTTTAAAATCCTGAAGGAGAAAGTAAAAAAAAATACAAACACACAGAACAGCCAGACACGGTGTAATAACACTGTAACTCCTCAACTCGATGTTAAACGTTTCAGAAACAGAGACAATGATCAACTTCACCCAGGTAAAGAATGATTTCTAAAAATATTAAACAAATCCTCTACAGACATGGAAATTACCTGCTCAGAGATGATGATGCGAGTTTAAAGTCCAACTGAAATCACATCTTTAGTTTTTTGTATAGTTTTTTTTTTCTTCTCTTTTGTCCGACCAGCTCACAGTGGCCACCAGTGGCAGGAGACCATAATAAACAGTATCAGTGTTTATATTGCCGGTACAGAAAGTTTTATTAGTTAGTTTTATTTTACAGAATAAACATTGTGTATTTATGTTTATATTTAAGGTAAAAAGGTTTATTTTTTAATTCAAGTTCTATATTTGGTTGTAATTGTTGTATTTATGATAACGTTTGTGTTCTAATATAAAATATCAAGCCTCACTTACATTTCTTTGTCATAGTAGTTTGATAACGACATCTTAGGAATCATTGCCAATCTTTAAAATCTATTTATAGCAGCCGATATAAGTATATGGATCAGAATTTTTTTGTGTTGTTTTTTATTTATGAAATGTTTTGATCTTTATCGGTATCATTCCTTAAACTTCCATATCAGTCAGGTTCTAGTTGTAGCTATATGAATTCCCCCCTTTAACTTTCTGATATTTTCTAAAAGCTGAGCATAGGACATGAGCAGATGTGTGGGCTGGGGAAAGAAAATAAATGCGCCACATTTCAGTTGGACTTTAAGTGGAAAAAAAACCAACTAAATGAAGAATATCTTCATTCAGAGCAGTGATATTAAAACAGCATTCGTATCTGAAATGAATTTATTAAAAGGATTTTAAATGCTTTCTGACCCGGAGGCTTCTTCAGAAAAAAATAACTTTACTCTGCCCGTCAGCCTCCGTGGCACGTGCTTCACAAAACCCATGCTGCATTTACCACTTCATTAGACTTTAACTATACTCTCAATCCTTTTCTTCTGTCCTTGTTTCCTGTGGTTTATGGCTTAGTGGTGAGTTCACAAAAAATAAATATAAACTGACATGTGGATGCAGAGTCAGTGGGCAGCAGAGACGAGCTTCTTAAGACAAGTGATTTCTCTCCAAGCAAAACATGCAATCTCAGGATTTACAGGCAGTTTAACCCTTTTTTTTTTGTAAAATATTTGGTCAGTGTGAAATCCTGGCTGTCACTTCATTCACTTTTTCATTCATTTATTCAGTCATTCATTCCTGTCTAACGCTACACTGACGAGATGTTGACCCACACAGTTTACACTCGGAAACAGGTTAATAATTTCGGACACATTAAACCTGCTGAGTTCCATACTCCTGTGTGTGTGTGTGTGTGTGTGTGTGTGTGTGTGTGTGTGTGTGTCTGTCTGTCTGTCTGTATGTGTGTGCATGTGTGTGTGTTGTAGACCGGACGTGTCTGGAAGACTAAGGTGGCGTCTGAAGGGACAAACGTATAAGCACGTGAAGCACACGGAAAGCACACACAAACATAAATAACCTGAGAGCTATGGAGACCCTGGGAGCGGAGGGCAGCAGCACACATGTGCACGCACACATACTCACACACATAAAAGTTATTTTGAACTCTGTATCAAAACGGATGTGTGAATAAATCAAAGTAGTTTGATGTGAGAGAATGAAATGAGGCCAGTTTTCAGCCTGAGGGCCTCATTCATTAAAAACATGCCCGATGCAGATTTTGTGCTTATGACCAAAACATGTAATATATGGAAAACTGATCTTTGATTATTAAACCAGTTGATCAAAATATATTTCACCAATTATATTAGATATTTATACATAAATCTCAAAATAGGGACATTAAATGTTTCTTTTATTAGGTCTTTACTTGAATTAGATAAAAATCAAATCATATTTTAATAAATGAGGCCCCTGAGAACCAGAGATTAGCTTCAGTTTAAGTCTCTTTCTGACAATCATCCAAAAACTGTGCATCTGTAGTTCAATCTTTCTGAATTTGTCACAGGTTAAAACACCATGTGACTCGTCCGCTCTTCAGGAATCTTCGTGAGAAAATCTCTGACCCCGATTCAACATGAACAAAAGGAAGCTGCAGCATTCGCTCTCGTCAGGCAGAATTCAGAAAATTCTGAGCAATTTTTCAGCGTTGTAAAATCGTAACGTCAAGATTTCAAGTGTTTCTAGCAATTTCTGAGCAACGATTAGAGGTTTCTGCTCTCCGTACGCCCCTCCTCGTTCTTAACCATTTTCTTTCCATCTTCCTAAAATCAGGACAGCAGCTGTTCAGCATTGTTGATTCATTCGTGATGGGTTTGGATGACTGTGGCGTCAGTGGTGTTTGGTATCAAAGTGAACCAGTCTGAATTCCATGTCTTTTCATGGTGACACCTCGAGACTGATGAGACAAAGTGGAGAAAAGAGTTAACAAAAAAGTTTGTCTAAGTTTGTGTGTTCGTTAAACATTTTGGCATAATTTCATTCTCTTCCATTACCGAGGAGTAATAAGACATAGTGTAAGATGTCTTAACTTACAGACGGACAGATAGATACAGTAGATAGGACAGACAGACGAGAAATACATACAGTTAGAGCTCATCTCACAAAAAAAGAACAAACAGTATGTTGAACAGTATGGGCTACATTTTATCGCACTACCAGCAATCAGTAACAGCCTTCAAGTTAACGTGATGCATGTCCCGTCTCTCTCTTGCGTTAATGCTGCCCGGGGTTCAGCAGCACAAAACTCCACCCTTGGCGGTTCTCTGAAAAGGCCACCAGGGGGCGTACAGTGACTCTGTGTGGTCTCACAGAGACACAGAAGAGAGAAAGAGAGGGAGAAAGATGTCTCCTGCTCCTAATTCATCCTGTCCATCCTGCGAGTGAGCCTGGGTCAGTCCCTCTGTCCTGTGTGTCACTTTCCATCCGAACACAACCTCTTTGTTGTCAGTGTTGGAGGCGGAGAGAAGGAGGGGGGCGTTTACTACCAGTCTACAGCCCCACCTCCCACCCAGAGTTCATACGGTTCAATCCCGACCAATCTGTCGCCCGGCTCACTTTTTCTTACCAGACTTCTCTGAGCGCTTCGCCTCTGACTTCCCACCTCGATCTGACCTCTCCGACCTTTCACCTCTCTCCCTCTCCTTTTCCTTTTCTGCCCTCTCAATCCGATCGCCTCGGTCCGAGCGCTCGCCACCTCGCTCTGACCTGTTGTCTGCCTTGCTGCCGTCGCGGCGCGTGCCCTCGTCTGTGGATGAGGTAGTTGGTTGGGGCTGACCCCATTTGGCAATCTCCTCGTGCTCTGTAATACTGGCAGAGATGTTGGTCACCCACGCTTTGAGGTCGTCCTGGTAGGAGAGAGTGAGTGAGGGGAGAAATCAGCTGATCTATCGTTTACAGTTTTTGTCTCTTATGTTACTTTAAAGGACCAGTCTGTAAGATTTAGGTGAAATCTTGGCAGAAATTTTATATAAAATAAAACTAGTGATGTTTTCACTAGTGTGTAACCATCTAAATTGTTTTCTTTACCCTAGAATGGGCCCTTTATATTTAAATACTTTATATTCACATCTGTAGTGGGTCGTCTCTATGGAGGCAGACATGTCTTTTACAGTACATCATCAGTGTGTAATAATCTGAATTGAACAAACTATTGTTTTCTTTCTTTTTATGACAACTGAACCTTTTATGACAACTGAACCTTTAAAGGTTCAGTTGTAGAATTTAGTGACATCTAGTGGTGAACTTTCATGTTGCAGCTGAATACCCCTCACCTCACCCTACCCTTCCAAACATGAAAGAGAATCTGTGACCGCCTTCAGTTTTCATAAAAACTCAAAACGTGTTTATTTTGTCCAGTTTGGGCTACTGTAAAAAACATGGCGGCCTCCGTAAAGAAAACAACAGTTCGTACAATTTAGATCAGGGGTCAAACTCGCAGCCCGCGATCTAATTGCAGTGATATTTTGTGGCCCCCCTACTTGACATCAAAGTTTAGTGTTTTTCTCAAACGCACCTTTTTGTCGAGTCGTTGCGGGGGCCATGCTTGCGCACCATTCAGTAGTATCTGCGAGCCAAATTACCCAATTCTTTTTCTAGGATGGTGAAGCAATGACCCACACTACTCTGCCTCTAATGCGTTTTATTAACTCGCTTACTATCGCACGCGCAAGATACATATAGAATCTATATGTCATTCACACCTCAACCTGCTGACAACCTGCCAATGGGGACCCAGCCATGCCATCCTACCCCTTCCATTGGTCCAAACGGCCATGTGCCCACCTGTAACACGTTCAATGATGTGGGAAACCACAGTGCTTCAGCAACAACGACACTTAACAGCTGAATACAACACAATCACAGATAACAGTGACAGAGTATATCACTGTTAATGTGTTGTAAATGCATTTTTTTCATTGTTAACTAAATATTGTTGTTTTGTTAAATATTGTTTTGTTGAATAATTTGAATGATGATGTTCAATCATCATATGATATATATATATATATCTAATGAGTTAAAATAGTGTTTATTTCCATTTTATGACAGGGCACTTTTGAGTTTATCTGATTGGTTTTGATGTGTGGAAGAGAATGATTTGCATTTGTTTTATCTAAGGTGAAATATGAACAAGGATGCATTGTCAAATTCAGATCTGAAATATTTTATTTAAATAAATGTTCAAAAAATAACTGAAACACCATGTTTGCCTCATCTATATTTTATATTCATGCAGGCTTCCTGTGTGACCAGTAATACCTACAAACTGCTCCTGATCAAGTCATGTTGATTTATAATAGTGGCACACTCTGGCCCACGCTATCTGTTGCAAATCAGCTGTTCAAAGAGACAGTTTACAAAAAAAACTACTGACTTGCCAAGTGAGAGAATAGGTGTCAATAGTTCACTCAAAATGCATAGTTGTCTCTCACTAGTCTGTGGGCCAGTATTGGTTTAGTAATTTCATAATGCTTCCTCCCTGAGATCAAGCAGCAGAAATTATGTGACAATGAGCAAATACAACTGATGGATTTTTGGGTAAACTAAATAGAGTAGTCTTACACGTCACTGTTTCTAAAACAGGGCATTTTTCTGGGCTGCGTTTAAAAAGGGCAAACATTGAGAGTATACCCACTTCTCCAGGGACCACTACACCACTGCCTGTCACCCAGCCCCAGTAATGTCTTTCTCAAAACCTGCCGTGAAGAGAAAGGTTGGCGACGAGCACAGACAATTTCAGGAAAAGTGGGAGAAGGAATATTTTTTTGTTGAGCACAGGGGCACCCCGACGTGTCTTATATGCACAGAGAAAGTTACGGTGCACAAGGAGTACAACATCAGATGTCATTACTCAATGAGACATGCTGAGGAGTATGCTAAATACCAGAGATGAGAGAGAGAACCGGGTCGCCAGTCTTAAAACATGTCTACTGAGGCAACAAGATTTTTTGTGGAGTACTTGATGCGGCCCAGTCTCACCGAGACTCTACCTCCAGCGGCCCCCAGGTAAATTGAGTTTGAGACCCCTGATTTAGATCATTACACAAGAGTGAAAATATCCCTGGGTATATTTTATATTCAATTCCTGCCAATAGATCCCTTTCACCTAAATCTTACACACTCAACCTTTAAGAGTTTGATCAGTGAAATAAATCCACTGTTGCAGCTCCGTCAGTTATTCTGAGATGTGAACAGAACACGTCTCACCTCATCTTTAGCATGAAACAAAAACTCGCTGCCATCCTTCGTTCTGCAATAAAAGGAGAGTTTCAGAAAGAAAGCCGCTACCTGTATCAACACAGGCCAAGTGAACAGCCCATTCCAAACTGACAGGTTTAGAACAGATACTGCTCGAGTTGACTTTGTTTTATTAACAGTGATAAATTAGTGAGTATATGAAACAGTTCCTCACTTGAGCGTGAAGACGTTCTTCTTCTTCTTGTATCCGTTGGTGACGTCGCAGTGGCAGTGGGAGAGGTTGAGCATCGGCTCGTTGTTGTAGGCCGTAGCGGTATTCTTGGCATCCTTATAGAAACCCATGCCCCCTTTGTTCAGCACGCAGTACAGGTTGACCCATGACCTGCTGTGGTGTGGAGAAGCCGGTAGGGAGAGTGGAGGAGGAGGAGGAGAAAGAGGGAGGAGGGGAGGAGCACGGGGAAGGTGGTGGTTGGGGGGAAGATGCGAGGAGTCAGGCGGAGCTGCAGAGTTGCTCTTGTTAAGCTAACACCTCACTCACCTGACCAGAGCAGACAGGTAGGTAGGCAAGAAGGACCAGCGCCAAGAAGGAAGGAGGTAACACACTGCTGAACAGACACAGACCGACGCACAAACAGACGTACAGAGGGGGGGGGGCAGGCGGGGACGGAGGCTAGTTAGTGTGTGGGGCTCATATATGACTTACCTTGGAGGAGACGAGAGGAGCCACCAGCAGCACAGAGGGGGAGAGGAGAAATGAGATAGAGGAGTTTGGTTAAATGAAATTTTGGCATCAACACAAATTAGTCTGAAAACATTTCAATAGTTATTTTCCTTATGTGAGCATTATAACATGCACATAGCATTCCAGTTGATAGCTTACACCCAAATAAGGTATTATTCAGGGCAAGATGTTTGAGTGCAGCTTCATGTCCAGATTTAAAATATCTCTGCGAACTAAGACTGGAGAAGACCAGTGGTGCATGTGATCTGCCTTTGTTGAATTTAACAGAAGGGGAAATCAGATCAGATAATAATAAGCTGGTTTTGATAGCCCCACAGATTCATCAGTGTCAGAAATGTTAAAATCCTACAAACAGGTTTTAAGCACCACATCATTTTAACAAACATAAAAAACAAGAATTTTAAGGGCAAATCTTCATCGGGAACTTATTATAGTTTCAATTTTCTTTTACTACAAAGTCTCCTTTAGAATTTCTCACTATGAACTGACCAAATTTGGAAGCTTAAAACCATTGGAGTTGTTGAACACTAATAAAATAGTTTTATTTATTTAGTTTGTTAAAATTGTGTTCAGGATGTTACAGAAAACCTTGATGTTTCAGCTTTTCAGAAAAATCCAGAACAATCACAGCTCAAGGCTAAAAGTGATGTGAAACTTCAATGTAAAGCTACCGTCAAATGCTGGATTTTTTATGAAACGATTTGAATTCACTCACTTCATCGCTTTGATATAAAGACTCAGCACCACTCACACTCTATTTTGATATAGAAAACTTGGTTATCCTGAATAACACCGGAATAATAATGTGCACATAAACAGAGCAAACAAGAGCGAGGAGCCGTTCAGAGATTCATATCTGAGCAGGATTCAGCCACAATTATGCTTTACCTTAACATGTACATAGCAGGGCATGTACATACGAGATATTCATCCACTGCCATGAGTGGACGCATGCGTGGGACTCATCCTGAGCTGGAGGGGGATGAGCTTTCTAGCGGTGTGTGGTCAGTCCAGCCACTACAGGGCAGTGCAGAGAGAGACTTCTGCCATCTGAGTCTCTTTCTGGAGGAAGCCGGCAGTCATCTGTGGAGGCCAGCGTGAGTGAGTGTGTGTGTGTGTGTGTGTGTGTGTGTGTGTGTGTGTGTGTGTGCGCCATCAGTACTTTCTCAACACTCACTCCGACAGCGTTCGTCAGCCAGCCGCTCAGTCTGTGTGATAATCAGCCTATCACTGCTGCTGTGTGTTGAATCAGGAGGCATCATAAGCATCATGCATGATAGTTTTACATGCCGTGAGATTTCTGTGAGCTGCTGTTTGAGGTCATGTAACTGTTGTCTTCAAATACTGATGATCAGTGACGACATACATCAAATATTCTGAGGATGCGGCCTGATATGAGGATTATGTAACATAAGAAAAAAGTGTACCCTGGTGCCATTTTCAATGCTCATGTTACTGAAAAACTACACAACTCCAAGTATAATAATGAGAAGAATATCCCTCGGAATAATGAGATTATTCTTCACCTACCAGGATCAACTAATGGTCACTTTTTAAATAAAAACAACTTCATAACTTTAACTGCTGAGAGATTTCAGAGGCACTTAACACAAACCACAACATATAGTGATAGATTAGTCAGTACGAAATATACATTTTAAGGCAACACTGTGTAACTTTCACTAAGCAACAGCGCCCTCTGCAGCCACGTGTGGGGATGAATTCTTTTGGGCTCCATGTCTGAGCAATGAAGTGGTTTTCATGTAGAAAGAAAACAAGTCTATCAATGAGCTCTGACTGTGTTGACCCAGAAGAGCTGCTGATGTAACAAATCTACCAAACTCTATATTTTAAAAGTTTCCTGCTGAATATTGGAGATGAACTCTGGTTTCTAATAACTTCTGAGTCTTTTTAACTGATCTACAGTTCAGCTTCACAGTTCCACACTTCTCACAGGAGATCGTGATGCATAGAACAGATATTCAGGGTGAGGAGTGGGAATGAAAGAGCATACCTCCTCCAAGGCTAACACCATATCCCACCATGCTTAAGGAAGTGAAAAGAAATTCTTCCACTTGTTCATCCTGATCCATTTAAAAAGCTCTCAACCACATTTCATGTAAATCAGTTAACTATCTTTCGCATGATCCTGCTGATCAATAAATAATCAGAATCAGAAAGAATTTATTGATCCCAGGGAGAAATTGTGTAAATAAATATCCAAATGTCAAATAATCTAAACGTGTAAACCTGAACCACATCTCTATCATGTTGACACATACACTGAGGCAACTAATGAGGCATTGTGTGTGTTAGCAGGGAGTGTGTGAGCTTGGCATGCTAAGATCATGCTGCTGTTGGAATCTGGAAAAGGAGAGAGGGGAGGGAGGGAGGTTGGCTGTGGTGTCATAAGTAACAGAGCAACAGATACGACCTGTGCAGCCAACAACTTGGGTCAAACAGTATCTGATAATACTGATTGAACTGATTTCAATCCTTTAAAACTGGGGAGTTAAGACTTTTAACTTTTATTTGAATTGCTTTGAATTAATTTTACTCATGTTTAGGTAAGAAACTACCAAATGAAACTGTTATAATGGAAGCATTATTGTCAAGTGAAAATAATTTGACCAAGCACAAGTCTGATACTCATGACACTCAGCATCCGTCCTCCTCCTCTATGACCCTTCCATCTTCTCCGTGTGTCAGGATTTTCATTATGACCCTGAACACCCACCTGTTGGTGCTCTTCTTTAGACTCTCAATGTCCAGCTTGCGGAAAAGGAAGCCCTCTTGGTGTGCAGTGTGTGTTGGAGGCTGGGGAACTGCCGGGCTGCTCTGAGCCGGAGCGGACCTGGACCGCCGGGTCGTCGCCTCTCCTGCCTCTTTGGGTCGTGGTCGCCGCCGTGGTTTGGGTCTGTCCCGAGCTCGGGGTCGGTCGGGACGGGAAGATTTCTCTGGTAACCCGTTAGGGAGGCGGGGAACCTCACCACGGGCCTGAAGGCAGAGAGGGTTGACAAGAGTCTGTAGGAATTTGATTCGCAGGGAACATCCATGGGGTAAAGAGCTACATTTTCTATGATGAGAGCTTTTTAACTTCAATTTGAACAAAACTAGAGTAAACTTGACCATGGATTGAAGATGAGACTGACTAAAAAATATAGTGGTGGTATGATAAGTTTGTTTTGTTTTCAATTTTTGTGTCAAAAAACCTACAACTTGAGTATTCGCAAACACTATTTGAATGAAATGCTCATAAAATAAAAACCAGACCTGTGCTGCTTCTCTTTCTTGCAGCTGCTCTACAATTTCTGCCATTGTGGATCTCTTCTCTTCTCTCCCTCTAAATAAAATGAAAATTACAAAATCACACTGCAATTCAGCTGTAGAAAAAAAAATATTCAGTTACAATTGTTTCTGCATGTTTCTTTTCTACATATACTTTAATAACACTTAACCCCTGACAATTACACACAAAGTCTCACCCTCCTGCTGAGCGTCTATCTGAGTGCTCCTTCCCTGTGTCATGCTCACTGGATTCCTGTCTCTCCAGCCGGTTTCGGTCCCTCTCTCTCCGCCGGCCCTCGTGGCCCTCGTGTCCCCCGTAGCCCCCATGGCTCCCGTGGCCCTCATGCTCACTGGACGTTTGTCTCTCTAATGTCCGCCTCTCCCGCCTCTCTGCCTGTTCCCTCCACACCTCCTGAGGCAGCTCGTCCCTGCGCGCTTGGATCAGCTGCTCGCTGGACAGCTGCCGTTCTATCTTGTGGTCTCTGTGGGAGGTGTGTGTCTGGACCTGGGGCTCAGCGTGGCCCAACGGGTCACTCCTGGACCCCCGGGGGCCTCTGGTGGGCTCGCTATGAAGGCGCTCCCGACCCGGCTCCTGGAGTACCACCTCAGCCATCACTGCCATCTCTACTTTCTCTGTACCTATCTCTCCCATCATCATCTCTCTCTCCCTCCCCCTCTCCCTCACCTTCTCCAGCCGGCTTGCGACGAGCAGAGGTGTCACTACGTCATCCATGTGTTTGATTTTGGGCTGCCTCAGATACGGAGACGATCTCACCTCCAGTTCCTTTGTTGCCTGCACTGGCTGGAGGTGAGTCATCGCTTTTGTTGCATGGTCTCTTGCCGTACTGATGCTTTCTCGCGCCTGGTTGGCAGAGACTAGCATGGCCGCTGTGGCAATAGATGCAATTGAGGAAGGTGCGGGTTGGCCTAGTCCTGCAGCCACACCCACCACACCACCATGCCGTGCCTCCAGGGTGTGACGGTAGTTGGACCCATTCATCACAGGGGTGTAGTTGGCGACTGTCGACCCCAGCCGTCGAACCGCAGAAGAAGGAGAGGGTGTAGGAGTTGCAGGTGAGGGTGAGGGAGGTGAGCTGGCTTCGTTCTGTTCATAGATGGTCTGTCTCATAACGGGGGAGATCGGTATGCGGGGGAGGGTGGATGGACTCGGGGAGGCATCTTGGGGGTCCAGGAAGACCTTACGACCAAGCAGAGGAGTTGGGGGGAGTTTACTTTGCTCTGCTTTCAACTTCTCTACCTGCAGGAAGAAAACAGAACCAGTTTTAGAATCAAACAGGACCTTGACATGAGTGGATGATATTGAATATCATAAAGATAATGATAGTAATGATGATGGTGGTGATGATAATATCACCGTGGTGATTCGTCGCAGTGAGCTGAACCGCTCCTCCCAGGTGGCAGCAGCTTTGCGGAAGGCTTCATGTCGACGAATCAGTTGCTCCACTTCATCTACACTGGCGCCCAGCTCGCAGCTGGTAATGAACGGCTCCTGAGCGGTCAGCCACGCCTCTGCCACCACCGCCTCCTGGGCGAACTGATGAACCTCGAGCACTGAAGGGAGGAGAAACAGAAATTCAAAAACTTCTCTTCTCTTCTCTATTCTTTCATTTCACAGTCTCCTGTAGTACATCTGTGTGTGTTTATGTAAGATGTAAGGTATGTGTGTGTGTGTGCTCACATTGCTGTAGGACTTCCCAGTGCTTGTCCCACTTCTCAGACAGCTCATGTTGCTTAGCAACCACCTTGTCCAGCTTCTCCTTAATCTAACAATTGAAATTACAAAAGTCACAGGAATCAGTCTCAAAGTTACTGTTAACCATGCAATAACCATGTAGAATACCATAGAGAGAATAACCATGTAGAATACCAGATGGAAAACCAGATTTGATGATTTATTCCATCAAATGAAATCACTTTTTGGTCAAAGTCAAGGCTTCATAAAGGATCTGATTCATGGGTTTTCATCTGTGATGCTTGAATGAGAAATACTTTAAAAGGCCAGTATCTTTAAAGCCCACATGATGCTGGATACTTGTTTACATCAGGACATTTGTAAATAAATAGCTTTGTAAAAAACAAAAAGTAGTTAAATGTGTATTATTTTCCCTCAAGTTTATAATCTTCATCATGTCTCCTCATCTCACCTCTTCAGCTGCAGGGTTTCGAACAGCCAGCAGGGTCTTTCCCATTTCAATACACTTGAGTACGCACCGACTGCGAGCCTCGACTTCGCTCTTCAGACTCTGGTGATAATTCATCAGCACCTCCACTGAGGACACATCTCTGCACAAACCACAAACACATTGAGACACACACCAATACAATGCTTGTAGTGGAGGCCTGGCTGATGCATGATTTTAACATGAACCACACTGAATTCTTAGTCCAACCTTAGAGTCAGAATTCCTTCTCCACAATCAGTAACTTCATTCATTAATAAAACAGCGGTTATTTCCAGCTCAGTTTAAGAGAGATAACAACCACAAATGAAGATGATGAAAGTAGAATGTCTTTCTAAACCTTATAGATTAATGTCTGAAATCAGTACACACTTCTATCGCTTTGATTTAACCCTGAGGTTGACACAGATCCTGTGTTGATAGTACCTGGGCTTCTCTCCTGTCCCTATCTGACAGATGATCGAGTCCATCCACATGATCTGGTCTCGGACCATGCCGAAGAACCTCAGCTTATCTGTCTCAGTGGTGATTTGCACTCGACACTCTTCACAGGACGTCAGCAGCTCCTTCCAGAACTGCATCACTTCGTGCTCACGGCACGCAATGGCTTCAGCCTTCTCGCCGGCGTACACCGTCCTCAGCTGGGCCGCACTCTCCTGCAGCTGACGCACCTGGAAGTTTGGAGAGCAGAGTTTAGTAAGAAGCTAGGCTGAACAAGGAAGAATCAGATCTTTAAAGAAAAGGAAAGACAAAGAGTTTCTTTTCCAAATGACGCAGAAAACACAGCTGCTATGACAGCTGTGTTTTCTTCAGTGGAGGCCAAACAGTCGGCGCAGCTGTGATTCTGCATCTTTCTTCAGTAAAATGCACTTTTCTCCAGGTGCATGACAGAGACTAAACAAAGCAAAATTAAATGCGGAGTAAGAGCGTAGTTTTGCAATGACGATTCAGGCTCACAAATAACCAGAAATCTTTACCACTGGTCTATTTTCTATTGAACTTTTATCAGATTGAATTTGCTACCACACCTTCAACACTAAACCTATGTGCATAAAATACATCCAAACAGAAAACAACTCCAACATAACAGGCCAATAATATAGAGTGGCTTTTGGAGTGCATGAAAAGACATGAAAATATTGCATTATTGCAATTGTACTGATTCAAAATCATCACCTCCACCTGATTTGAATTTAATGAATGGTGTTTGCTTAACAAACATCTGCTGTGAATGTGGAAAAAAGCTAAATTAGGTTAAAAAAAAACGTCTTTGACCTAATACATAGTAATCATCTTAAAGGAAGTCTCTTCCCTGCATGAGTCCTAAGGCCTCTGAATATCGCAGCGAGTGAATTTAAACGCTCTTTTGCATGTTGCTGTACCTGCGTGACCAGCAGCTGTATGTCCTGTTCAAAGCTGTGCAGGAGTCTCTGCAGGGTGCTAGTGTTGGCAGTGCTGCCCTGCCGAGCCCGAACTTCTGGCAGTCTTCGATGTTTGTCCTCAATCTGAGCCAAAACCTAATAAAAAACACACAAAGCAGTGCAGAGGAGTTCGGTATATATAATTATCTTTGAAGCTAAATGTCATTTTCAAATTTAAACTCAAATGTGGTTTTGAAGAAGGTTCATAGAATCTAAACCACAAAAATGAGCTAGCTTATACATTTCTTTTCTTGATCTTATCGCGTGGTATGATCATCATAAAAACTAGACAGAAAAAAAGTAAATGCTTCTAACATCCAAAACAGCCTGTGCTGCTAAGTGATGTGCTTAGCAAAAAAATTTTGCTATTTGCCCATGTACAACTGCTGCTATATATACTACCTGATATTGTGTGTTTCTGTTTGCTTGTTTGTTTGTTTGTTTGTCCTCTCTTTGGAGTTAAATCTTGTGCTACTGCTGTAACATGTGAATTTCCCCACTGAGGGACAATAAAGGAAATCTAATCTAATCTAGTTTGATGCATAATCTGCAGATTTTAAAAATTATTTCCCTTTTTCAGACTTTTCAAATTGTTTTAAACCAATTGGAATCAAACAATTCAACTGCATCATGTTTTCGTGTCTTGTATTTCACTGCATCACATCACGTCAGCTCTGTTACCTCTCTACAGTCGGAGAAGAATTTGTGCAGCTGATGTGAGGCGGCAAGCATCTGTGCCCGGGTCTCGATGAGCTCCAGCAGGTCGGCCCAGGCCTCGTTCACACCGTCCTTCCACTCTGCGATGGTAGCGGCCTCTGAGTGGCCGTAGTCAATGAGCTCGTCCACCATCTGGTTGACGGCCGTCACCCGCTCCTGCCCCACGCTGCCTGTCTCTGAAGCAAACTCTGTGAACTTCTCCTGCAGGACCTGGAGTTGTGGATAGGAGGTTAAGAAAGGAAAAACAAACATCTAGAAATATTGGGTTAGTGTTAAATAATAATTAACAGTTGTGACTTCGATTCAAATCAAATGAGACTAGTGTTTTTTATTTCCAATATGTTCTTTAAATGAATTATTCATCCACATCCATCATCTGTCAACACACTTACTGTCACATGCTCGTAGTCTTGACCCAGTTCAGGCGAGCTGGCAACCACCTCTCTCTGAGCGATCCACTGCTCCAGCTCATCCACCTCTCTATTTAGCTGGTACAGCCAGTACTGCTGCTCTAGGCGGCTCTTCCTCTCCTCCACCAGGTCCTTCAGAGACACGTACAGACGGTCAATCTGCGACTGGCGCTTGCTGATCTGCTCGCTGTCAAAAGAAGCAGAGAAACTGTGTCAGGTCACGCACAGTGTATCGGCAGCAGGAAACCGTGTATTAGAAATACATTTTCTTGGCCGGTAACAATTTTTTTTAAAGTCTTCGATTTTTTTCCTAACATCCATAATTGACAGAATCTACAAAAATGTTCTAACTTTTCTTTAATTATTCTCAGATCTTTACTTTATAATGATTATAAACCACACACCAGATCAATAAACAAACATTTGGCTCAGGTGGGATGGTTATGATTCAGATGAGTTTTTGATTTGTATTGAATTTTGATAGTACTCTAGCATTTTCTCTAGGGCTGTGTGTGTGTTTTCTACATGCTCACCAGTCTGGATGCCCCATCTCCAGCAGCTGCCGACACTGCTGCGACAGAAGGCCGATGGTCTCAGCATAGTCCTCGATGGTCTGTTCCAGGATCAAGTGTTTCTTCAGCAGCTGCAGGGTGCTGGGCTCATCCTGATGGGAGGACGAAATGACATGTAAGTTTTACTTTATACACAACAGTTTATAGATTTAATAAATGTTCTATCCCTCTATCTTCTATCCATTTAATTAGATGTTGTTTACTGAAAAGACAAGAATATTTCAATCACACGCTCACCTTCCCCTTCTCCTCGTTCATCATGTGCAGCTCTTGCTCGCTCAGCCAGGCCTCCACTTCAGCCGTGTCGAAGTAGTACTGCTGGGCCTGGTACATGGCGTCCAGGACCAGTTGCCTCCTCTCGGTCTCTGTCCAGAGCAGAGCCCACAGCTGGGCCAGCTGGCCGTGGCCAGCCCTGACGCAGTCTGCCTCGGGGCTGCGTATTGAGGCGATGATTCCCGCCCTCTCCAGAACGTCATCAATCCTGCTCATGTGGCCCTGCAGCTCCCTCTGAAGTGTCTGGAGGAGAAGAGGCAAGTAAGTTCAGGAACGTTTGAAAGTTTTCTGTGTTGTTGAAAATAGATGACGAGATGTTGCATAACAGGAGAAAGGTCAGTGCATCATAAGCTACACGAGAGGGAGTAAGTGAGAAATGGAAAGATTGAATTAGGGTGTTGATGACATATCAACAGGGGGAGTCAGATTTAAATTTAAACATTAGTTGCCTCTGCCAAGGAGGTTAGATCAGGCATATTCATGGTACTAAAATCTATTTGTGTGCAGGTTGGTGCAGCTTGATTGAAGAGCCATTCTCATTAAAGGCTGTGGTCAGAATCACCAACTTTCTGACTTCCTCACCTGATTCTTCTTCATTAGCTGCTGGACTTCCTGCAACGAAGAACCGTGCTCCTGAGACATGGCCATAGGGAGGCGCTCCTGGATCCACAACTACAACCACAACACATTGTAAGTATTAGTAGTAAGTAGGTAGTAAGTATTTGCAAACTATAATTTTGTAAATGTATTTAAAAGCACTGTTACATAAATACAATTATGTGTGTCTGAGGTCAAAAAAAGAAATTTAAATGAACTTGTCAAGCTCATAAGCTGATATGAAAACAAAATGTAATTTTAGAAAGAACTGAAAATTCAATATTTAAATAACCTGCCTAATCTCATTGATACCTGTTAACAAAACAGTGTGTGTTTCAATAACAGGTTGTATTGTTGGGTTAGAGCAAAACATTTAAGATTTTAATTTTCCTAATGTATCTGTGTAGTCTGCATAGAAATCCATTAACAGTTCAGGTCATAAGATAATTTTATTTAATATTATAAATTACAATGTGCAACATTATGTCTGCGTGTACGTGTCTCTGACAACCAGCAAACTCACAATCTCGTCCTCCAGGTCTCGTCCAACTTGGTGGACTTCCTTAGACGCCAACAGGATGCGCCGTCTCTCCTTCAACGGCTCGATGAGACGCACCATCCTGGCCTCCACGACGGCCTGACGCTCTGCTACCGTCCCCTTGATCTGCGTCTGCTGTGGTATGGAGGCTGCCTGCACCTGGAGCTGCCCCACCTCCTGATACCACTCCTCCATCTGGGTCTCCATGGTCTAGGGGGCGAAGAGGAGAAGTAGGCATAGAGCCGAAGTTATGAAAACAGAGCGAGGAAAATTGGATGTGTTGATTAAAAGTGAGAGATGGAGGTAAGTGAAAAGGGGGAGAGAATAAATTGGATGTCGTCATGGGGGAGAAGATAAAGATGGGATGAGTGGGATGTAAAGATTGTGACAGAAATTCTTTCTTGCATTAGATTCAAGAATTATCAGGTTTTTAAGCAGAACAATATTGTCAAAAACTAAATAAAAAACTGCAAGTAAATCTTTTAAATAAAAATTACAGACAGATAACAAGAAAAATGATAGCTTCAATAATCCTTGTATTGATATGATCTTTCTATTATTATTATTATTAGATTATCCTAACTTATATTGCAAAAAAGGCAAAGATGAGACTAAAAACAATCCAAAGCAGCCAAAGAAGAGTTGACAGACATGAAGTGTTGTGAAGATTACTGTACCCCTTGTCAGGATGGATGCTGGGAAGTGGAGTTAAGATGAAGTGGGAAAGCAGAGCTAATGGCGGCTTGTTAAAGAAGCTGTGAGTGGCATGCTGTGGGAGAGGAGAGTGAGAGATGTCTGGTGAAGTGCTGAGTTCATGAATGGATGAAGCTGTGTGTCGGCCAACATCACACCTGCCTGCTTCTCTGATGCGTTAAAAAAATGTTCTCCTCCAAACCATCACTGGTGGAGTTGCATCCCAACATCACAAGTATACAGACAAGAGAATATTTTTACAGCCATTAAGGACATTAAGAATAGATATTCACCTCAGTCCATATAGACAGTAAATAAAAACGGACGTAGACTCCAGGTCTGGAGAGTAAAGCCAATGGCCAAGTGCCTGAAACCTGTATTCTTTCAAATGACCAGCTGAGGACTACATCAGTTTTAAAAGAAGTTTGTCTAAGTCCGTGAGAAAATGACTCTACTTCTCACTTGATTTACAACGTCAGTAAACACCAAAAGAGTTTATGGCTCAAAATCTAGTGTCAAGTCTTTTACAATACAGCATGGTCTTTATTTTGTAAATGATGGTCCATTTAGAGTCAAGTAGACCATAGAGCACCATTTGCATTGAGGCATGTGTGATTGACAGCTAGTATCATCCAATACGTGGAGGTGGAAGGCGTCCAGTGTCCTTGGCTCCTCCCCCGCTCCTCCAAATGTGATTACTTCCAGTTTCAAGAATTTGTTATTGTTTTAGCGATGTCTACTGGTTTTATTTACTGTATTTGTGAGCATGATTACATAAAAAGTACTGAAACACTAAATTGATCAGACTTAATTAATGGATCCAGGATTCATTTGCTTTCCTTTACAGTGCAAGATGAACCAGTTCTCTAAGGAATTTTAATTGTAATGTGCAACATCAATTAGCTAAACACAGGACTTATAGAGGTAAATGTTGAAATCAGCATCCGTTGATCTAAACTAATTCTGCAAGATCCTGGCAGCTGTATTTAAAAATATACTGATCATTATATCTCACAATCATCGGTATGACTGATGTTGGCACGAAGGCTGATAGTGTCTCTAAAATCCATCAATGCAAATTAAATATTAATGTTGGCTTTAAAATAAAAAAAGCCTGACTTCGCTGAAATGAGATGAAAAGCTCAACGGAAAATGTTGCAGGCACAGGGTGAGAAAAGCTGTGAGTCATTTTCAAACATAATGTGGTGTTTAAATGTTAATGAGATGATGTCACCACTGTGAGGTGATAATAATGCAAACAGTGAGTCTTTCTGAGAAAGTTCAACAAGTACAATAAGAAGTGACAGCACCACAATGAAGTTTTTGTCCAATATTGCAAAAAAAAAATGTTTTTTTAAATCTTCATACCTGCAGTTTCTTCAGCTGCTTGTTGACAGTGGTGAGGTCCTGTCCCTGGTCCACGTAGGCCAGTTGACCCTCCAGCTGGCCCAGCCTCTGGTCCAGGCTTTCATAGCTCTGCACCAGCAGGTCGGCCTTGTTGGCCTCAAAGAGCTGGCGGGCTTTGGCGTGGGTGGTGCTCTCAAGATCCTGCCAGCACTCCCTGATCTCCTCCAGTTTCTTCCGGACCACAGGACTGAGCTCCGGCTTCTCCTGGATCAGCTGCTGGCCCTCCTGGATGGACAGGAAGTGGATTCATTAATGAGAAAAATGTACACTTTTAAACTGGTCATTAAATCTGATACACTGAGATGTAGACCTGCAGTGATCAGTAATTTACAACCTGTTTGGTTTCAGCTTCTCCATAAGAAAAATGTTCTCCAGCACTTCCCACTATGACAAGCATTTTCCACAAATTTTCAGTCATTTAATTGATCAAATAATGTAAAAATGAATTTAGAAAATAATTAGGAGACTAATCAATAATGACATGGACTTAATCATCAACATAATTATGACCAGTCGAGGTCAACAAAGAAGCATAAATCCAACATCTGTCATCACATCCACAGATATTCACTGGATCTTAAGTCTGAATAATTATGTGTAGACACTGTGGAAATGGGTTAGGAGGCGTGTGTGTGTGTGTGTGT